AGCAGGAGAAGCTCAAAAAGTCCTTGAGTAGTCTGAGCACTACTTGGCAACAGCTGAAAACATCAGTGTGTTATCAACATTCTTCTGGTACTAAATCCAAAACGCAGCACTATGCTAGCTACTGTGAAGAGAATTAACTCTATCCCAGACGAAACCAGGACAACCAAGCACACCCTCCTCGATGGGAAAAGCTGAGCAGGTAAGAATTGTGCAGAATCCTTCCCAACATAGAATCATAGAATGTTTTGGGTTGGAAGGGACCCCTAGAGGTCACCCAGCCCAACCCCCCTGCAGGAGCAGGGACACCTTTAACCACATCAGGTTGCTCACAGCCCTGTCCAACCTGGCCTGGAATGTTCCCAGGGATGGGGTCTCCACCACCTCTCTGGGCAACCCCTGCCAGGGTTTCACCACCCTCAGCGTAAAGAATTTCTTCTTTAGATCCAGTCTAAACCTACCCTGGTTTAGTTTAAAACCATTACCCCTTGTCCTGTCACAACATCTGGCCTACAACACCGCTTCTTGAAGGGGAGGGTAAGCCGCAGCTATTACAGTCAAACGCGGCGAGTGCGGCAGGGATAGAATCATAAAATGTTTTGGGTTGGAAGGGACCCCTAGAGGTCATCTAGTCCAACCCAGATGCTTCACCGTTGTTCCATTCATAAACGCACCGGTGGGTAAGAGCATCCGCTCCACCCACGCACCTTGCACGTGAGCTGAAGCCACTATAAAAGGCAACCAAATCAGAGCAGTAATATTTCACGCCCACTTTCACTGGCATAAACGATAGGCAGGGCGAGGGCCAGCAGAAAACTGGGAGCTATAAACCCACTTGTCTCAACACTTGATAGTTATTGCATGATGGCATAGATAAGTGATCTGGCTCTCTTCGGGGCATCATTAAACTTGCTAGCTGAAGTGGGGTTTATCAGGGTTTGTGAGTAAGGTTTTGCAGGTCTGACTCCTTATGCCTCCATAACCTTGACTCACAAAAAAGGAATGCACAAATTTGTGTCATTAGTGATGTATTATGAGTAGCGATTTCCTCATACATCTGCTTTCAAGAGAGCTATTCCAGTGGAACGAAAGTAACGCTACACTTGAGATTCCAGTAATGTTTGTGTGGGCGCTTAGAAAAATCAGGTACTTTTCTTGTAGGAATACCTTGCAGTGTACCTTCAGGTAAGTTTATGAAGTCACTGAAACTATTTGACTTCTGGCAAAGAAGTCTGCAAAAAGATGTTGAAGATGGGGAGAAAAAAGCAGGTACCTACACACATCTATACATATAGGTTACAGTTGAAAGGGGAGCCGCAGTAGAAGTTTGCCAAGCCAGAATCCCCAGAATAAATGGATTGAGCTACATTTGCAGTTGCTCTCTTTCTAACAAGATACAGCTCCCAGCCCAAGCAAGCAGCGTTAGTGCGGATCAAAAATAGATGCCCTGCTAAAGCAGAGTTAAGGAGGTCACTTTCTTCTCTTTTTCCTTCTACCCACGGCAGGATTTTGACACCTCGTATTGCAAAATGACAAACAGTCTCCCAGGTTTTCTGCTGCAGATGCCAGCCAGAAGAGTTTCCCTCCCCACCCCAATATGTAAAACGTACTTGCCACCAGAACACCAATTACCCCCTGGCCAACCAGGAAAGGATTTTCTCATTCCCATGGTGATTTCAAGTCCTGACAACTTAATGACTGTAATTGAAGGCAAATATTACTTGAACTCTACACATTTCTTTTTATAAAATACATTAGGCATAAAAAAAAATGTTCCTTTGGTTAAGCTGAGGAGTTCAGAAGGTATACGTGATCCCAGAAAATAAGAACCTTGCTCAGAAATTCCTTTATTGATAAGAATTTTAATAACCACAGGCCACTGAACACAGAACTAACAGGGCATGGAGACAAGCAAAGAGGTGCCAACCCTAGAAAACCTCTCAGTTTAGGAAAAGCTTATGTGAAACCATAAATCACCTGGAAGGGCTGTTAAATGCCAGAAGTGTTCCCCCTCCCATGATGTACCTGTCCCAGTAGCCATGGGAACACCGCTGAACTCTAAATGTGGGTTTTCTCTAAGCTCTCGACAGGCGACTCACAGTTTATGCCATTCCTCCCCTGCTTGCTCCAATGCACGCATATAAGACTTTCAAAGAAAAATAAGATCACAGAATCATAGAATCATTTAGGTTGGCAAAGCCCTTTAAGCTGCCCCAGCCCAACCGTTCCCCTACCCCTGCCATCCCACCCCCAAACCCTGGCCCTCAGCACCGCCTCTGCCCGGCTGTTAAATCACCCCAGGGCTGGGGACTCGACCCCTTCCCTGGGCAGCCCCTTCCAGTGCCTGACAGCCCCAAGGGGAAGGAATTGTTCCCCATGGCCAACCTCACCCTGCCCTGGCACAACTTGAGGCCATTTCCCCTTGTCCCATCAACCATGCCCTGGGAGAAGAGACCAGCACCCACCTCACTACACCCTCCTGTCAGGCAGTGGTAGAGGGCAATAAGGTCTCCCCTCAGCCTCCTTTTCTCCAGGCTAAACAAAGATACACATACTTAAACGTGTACTGTGCTGCTGCAGCCTCTGAAAAGCAATGTATTACACAAGAGAAAAGGCAGAAACACTCCTGCTCCAAAGAACTGATGATCACGTAAAAAGGAAAGAGCAATCGTGCTGCAACTGGTGGGAGGCCTGAAGATTGGGCTTTGGAGGAGCTGTGTTTGTCCACACCACGATTTCCAAAATTGCCAACAAAACCAGGCTGAGAAGATAGATGTTAAAAGGAGTTGGAAATACTGGCTTCTATGGAATTGGTGGGATGGTCCCAAGCAAGAGAAAAGGCCTGCCTGAAACCTTGGTGTTAAATGTGGAATGATTAAGAGGAAACAATAGGAAAATTCAAGGAGAGGCTGGGAAGTGCACAGGAAAAGATGAAGGTCAATTATAGCCAGAAGTCCCTTGTAAATACCATCTGTTTATGT